AATGATACTTTTGGGTATATTTTGTTCATTTTCAATTGGAAATAATTCAAACATGATTTAAATTTTAATACTGAGATGACAATTTGACACTATGAAAATTTCGAGCGTGGCCCAACTGAAGGGGCTGAGGGTTGGGCCCAAAAGGGTGAAATTGGCTTAAATTTCACCAATTTCTTCCTCAGACCCAGTTGTGCTTGAAACAAATACTCTTTATACATGGAAGGGGCTTGAGGTACTTTATCAAAACTGTGAATTTCATTACCCACAGGTGAAATGTTTGCCCCTAGGGAATAAAACTTAATATAGATAAACCACGCAAAGCAGAGACTGGCATTTCATTTATCATCACTTTTAACCTCCTATTAACACAAAAAAAACACCTGTAAAGCGAAAAATATCCGGTATTATTTGACAGCCTGAGGAGTGTGTAATACAATTGGCGTGCGTCAGTCAGTTCACGCAGGAAATATATATATAGGACTTTGTGAAAAAACAATATCTGTTTGTACTGGGTACTTGCTTTACCAAATTCTTCTCAAAAACATGTTTATGAAACCTATGTCCCTTGTTTCCAGTTTTATTAGGTCATCTGAGACAAAGTCTCAAGTGACCTATTGCAATCGCCTTTTGTCCGTCGTCGTCTGTCATCCGTCCGTAAACAATTTACCTTTTCGACTTCTTATCGCAAACCCCTGAACCAATTTCAATGAAATTTTGCAGAAACCTTCCATAGCCAAAGGTCTACAAAAAGGGTCAAATTGACTAAAATTTCAAAAATCTTCTTCTCAAGAACCAGATATGGTAGATTCAAATACTCCTTATAGATGGAAGGGTTTTCAGGTGCTCTATCACAATTGTGAATTTTATGATCCTAGGGTCTCACGTTTACCCCTGCGGAAGGGGGGAGGGGGGCAAAATTTATTATGGCAAATGATGCTATAAATATTACATGTTAATAATTTGATTGGAATTATAACCCTGAGTTGACAGTTTGATACTTTGAACATTTTGAGCCAGCTCTACCCCCAAGGGCGCCCAAAGGAGTCAGTGTGCTAAAATTTCTTCATTTTCCTTGTTTAGAATCAGAGGTGCTAAATTCAAATACTTTTCAGTCTTAAATCTGTATGCTAGATATTGAATAAGGTTGTTTTATTGTTTTTTGTTACTTTGAATAATACTTCTATCTAGCTAACATAAGCCACTCTAAAGCGCTTTACAGTACATGGATATACAATTAACACTACATTAATCAATACAATTTTGAGGTATTCGCAGGAGCTGCCTTATCAGGCACTAACTACTAGTCCTATAACACCTGGCTAATATCTCCCTATGTGTGTATGTCTGCGTGTGTGCTGGATATGTATGTGTTCTGTTTGTAGTGGGACTGTGCTTCCAACTGTATCATTTATACTGCCACCTCACTTGAATGCTACAACTCAGATACCGCAACATCCACCCCAGACCAATTTATACTCCACCTGGGTTTATGGAGTTGTGTGGGCAGGAGAAAAACACTTTATCTGAATATCCATGCGTACGACCACTTTGGGGATCGAACCCCGGCCGCCTGCGTGGAAGGCCAGAGTGTTAACCACTCGACCAATCCAATCCGCCCATGTGATAAAGTGATAAAAAAAAATGTATATCCTTAAAATTCCTTGAGTTGTGTTCTTCAGGACTGGCATAAACAATCAGGGTGTACTTCATACCAAAATAATTCCAACTAGAACATTGTTTGTAATAATTACTGATGTCTTTAATGTCTTTATTGTTGTAAAGAAGAAGACTTTTCAGATTTCTCTAAGTATATTATGACATGATGCTAATTTCTATTCTTTTTGCGATGCTGGCAATACTTGTGGTATACAGATCTAGACTACAGGTTCTGGGAAAATCTATAATGGAGCAAGCATAATTCTTTACTTTCGATGATAAGTTCCATGTAATTCAGGTGTAACCTGCCAGGGGACATAACTCTTTATAGGATAACATTTTAAATTATTTAGCTATAGGAATCTTTTATCAAAATTATGTAATAAACTTTTGAAATTCTTTACTTGTGGTTTTATATCCATTAACAGGACACTTGTATAATAGATAGATGCTTCCTTACAAATTATGTATGTGTTTTATGATAGAGTTAAGGGTGCATGCCACCTTACATGTTTTACTTGAGGATTGTGTTTTTGTTTCTCTTAAATCAAAAGTTCAAGTTAAATAGGCAGGATATTATTAAGTGGAAACCTTCTTAATGCATACCTTTCAATAAGTCATCAAATACCCATAACTACCAAGAATAAATTACTGTTTCATTAATTATATTTGACAGCTAAGCTTCTTTGTTTTGATAGGAGATGTATATAACAGTAAGGTAGCATATATCTCCTTAACTTATCACCAATCTTACACAATCAAGCTGTGGCAAGTGACTTTAACTTTGATCTGTTGGTCATTGTTTGTGAGAAATTTGAAGAACAAGAAAATTCTATCTCCTTCCAGGGCTTGTTTTGTTATGAATGAAGATGGCTTTAAAACCATGCTTAGTGCCAACGACAAAACACAGAGAGAAGCGGTAGCCAAACAGCTTCTCACCCCAGGAGCAAATCCTCTAGCCTACAGGGAGTGTAAAAAGGTAAGCTTTTCCACATTTTCCTTGTCTTTATTTATTATGATAACGAAATTGTTTGATACTAGATAACATTTTCTACATCATAATCAATGGGGGAGGTATGACCGTCTTGCAGGCTGGGGTTAAAAAACATTTTATCTGTTTCCTAACTTCTTTGTCATTTCACATATGATCACCAAACTTTGCATCTGATAAAGGCAGCTGTGAGTTTGGCACACTTAGATACGGTCTCATGCCCATCTATATTCCCCACCGAAGTGAAATTCCCTCCAGTGCGAGACTAGAAGGCAACCGTAATCAAATGTGCATTTAAAAACTGCCACAGATAATCGATAAAAATTACAATGATATTCAATTTGTCTTTTAAACATATCACATCGAGCTCAAAACACGTTGCCCTTTATACTATTGGCTTGATTATGAAAATTCAGCGAAACTGTATACCTTCTTTTCACAGCATTGCAACCTAACTATGACGTCATTGTTCTATTTTACTGTTATAGATGTCAGTATATACAGTTTGATGTTGTTTGTGGCTAGGCACATTGCTTTTAAGGTCATAGGAGTGTATTGATAAACGGAAATAGGAAGTACATCCCTAGTTGAAAATCCAATGTAGGGAGACAGTATCACAATTTCCGTATAATCTAATGTTTACTATTAAAGTGATAAATAGTATATGCTTATTATTGACAGAACAATGTGTTCTTTCAATAATAAAGTATTGCAAAGCAATCCAGGCAATAATTCAGTTGTTTTTTAATCAATGAGTCACATGTGTCCATTTTTCTGTACTTCAGGAAACCGGCTACCTATTTCACTACTGTGAAGTTTTTCAAGAACGATAACTATTGCATGCAATTACTATGTGTATATGGTTTTATTATAAAATGTCAATTTTTAATCGTTTATAGATAATTAATTTTACACAATTTCAGCATTTATGAAATTGATATACATTAATGCAATACTTATCTATGTTAGTATCATTTTTATTGACATTATTTTGCAAAAAAA